GCTCAGCACTGTTTCAAAACTACAATGGAGCGAGGGACCAGCAGATGATACAGGTTCGCATCGATCATAGTCAGAAATTTTCATTCCATTAAACTTTATTTTGGATTAAGCACATTCGACTGCTTCTATTTTTAGCCTATCTTTCCTACGTTATCATGCAAGGAAACAGGCTTGTTGTGTATCTAACTACTTCTTAATTTCCTACAATCATAAATTTGAAGATGACGGTCGAAGGAACTTCGGATGTGATAACAGCTAGTGCCGTTTAATGTATGATCTTGAAATTGTAACACAATATATATATACGAAAAATATGCAACTTTTATTGAGGCACTTTTGTAGAATCAAGAACAAGAACACGACGGCTGCGCGAAATCTGTATTTCGCTTTCGGGGTAAGTAGTTGGTAGGCAACGCATCTACAGTTTTATATGGAGTTCGCTGTCTATGGATTGAGAGTTGCGCAAGTTTTAGGTTAAGTCCGAACAATGTGACGTTGTTGGAATCGGTACTGGTGGAAGTTCACACAGAAACTGACCAGTAAATGATATGCCCTGTATCGTTTATTATTGTTTCTAGATGACTACAGGCGTACGTAAATCACATTTAAATTACAATAGTACATAGATTTATTGGATGTTCCCAAAAGGTCGTATGTCATTTGCATATTCTTTCTTTGTGATTTTCATCGACGTTACTATTTAAAAATTCTCGCTCAGGAGACCTTCACATTGAACTGACGTGACTGGGGTCCACCATCGAAATTCAGCCGTGGTTTGTTTATCTGTTAAAGCAACCACATTTTATACACATCAACATCGGAGTTATAGTGAAGTACGTGTTTCGGTACAATTATAAGCCTATTATATTGTGTCTCATTTTTGAACTTGTTTAAGCATCTTCATTTACATTAGTAGCATATGCAATAAATGCATAATAATTATTTGTCTCTCCGCTTTATAAAACACTGATGGTGGGTTTACGACGCAGTGATATTACCAGTTTTGTACGCGGTTAAAACGTGGTACCGGTAACCTACTTTGAAGGGAGAACATAAATTACAAGAGTCTGAAAACAATTGGCCTTGGAAATTATTTGAAGTAAAGACGAAATAAAAAAAGTGAACAATTGAAGGAAAAGGACGACTTGTCGATTTACATGGTTACGATAGTACTGGGAGAATGGAATATAGAGGGCTATAGTGGCAAGATAAGGGAGATAAATGCTTACAGAATTTTGTGATTGAACGTTTTGGGAAACGTACAATTTGGTAGACTGATAAACAGATGGGAGGATAATATTAAGATGGATGTTATGAAGACAGGTTGTTAGTATACAGTAAGAGATGGATGAAACTGGACCAGTGGTAGACTGTTAATAACGGCGTTGAACTTTCGAGACCTGCTTCTTCAGTGCTAGAATACATTGTAGTATATTGTATTTAACTGTATGCTACTTCGGTTTACACTAAGTTGTATGGGTAATACATTGCATTAACATTAATTAGAGACTTTGAAGATGGTATATTTAGATATCGAAAAATTTCTTTCAGTGTAACGGGAATGCAGTGGATTCCGGTTAATTGGGACACATCGTGACTAGAACATTTTGGCCCAATTAAGCGGCTGCCCCAATTATGCGAAGTTCCACGTAAAAAGTTAAAAAGGTTTGAAACAAAAGACAAACTCCCATTTATTGAGCAACAGAAATACTGTAAATGAATTCTGGAACAAATGGTAAAGATAAGGAAAAAATATTTACGCTAAAAACAATTTCAATTTAATTTATGTATCAAACACGCATGTATGTAGTTCTTAACAGTTAATGATGCTGAAGGAATTTATCGAGTGTACCCTACCATGTTCTTTTGATTGGCTGCAACTGAACAACATCAGAGCAGGTATCTAGTGCAGATATAGGACTGCCTTCATTGCCTTCGTAATCCATTAACAAATTTCCCGGCATCCTGGTTAGTCCCTCGCTCAAGCTGAGGTGTGTCGTCCTCATCACATTCCTGGTCTTCCGATGTCTTTTGGTGTTTTGCTGCAATTTGTTCAACAATTTCATCCTCATAGTATTAATTTTCATTGTAACATTGAAGACTATTGAAGATGAATGCAAACACTTCGTAGCTTCTGACGTGTTGCACTTCCAAAATGGCGTCATTTTCACTATCGGTCGTATCCGGCATCTCCAAGCCTGAATGCTTAAAACCACAGTCAGCAAAACGGTTCTGAATGGTCTTGCTGATTATTGCTCGCAAGTAGAATACGCACGTGTTCGTTACTGAGAGAATCAGCGGTGATAAGCGAAGCAAATTCCAGTTATTTTCTCGATTTGTTTCTGTTCTTTAAGATTTGTCCCAAATAAACGACTGTCCCAAATTCAACGGAATCTACTGTAGTGGTGAGTGTGTAATGTAATGTAATGAATTTTGCCATTTGTGCGTAGAATTATTTAAATTTATCTAATGGTCAGCGCATGTCATTAGCTCTCAAGAGCTGATAACAGCCACCATTTATTATCTGCGGGGTAGACCAGTGGTTTTCAGGTGATGTACCGCCAACTGCGAGGCTTTGAACAGAATGAGGAAGTAAATATGCTAATTAAAAATCAAATAATTACAATCAAATTTTTAACTGTAATTGAATATATTTTAGTAATTTATTAAAGCATGACAGCGCACTTACATTTGAAACTTTTAAACAGAAATTAGCAACAATGGTGGTAGCAGTTGCTGTTTCAACAATGGCCGCTTTTCGCGAATTAAATCGTAAAGATTCCGTTTGTTGACAGAGTCTGCCATAAACAGAAAACATGTAAGTTTGTGTACGCAAAATTCTGTGTCTCTCGGTTCTTACGCAGGTTGTGTTGATTGCTGTACTCTTTGTTGAAGGCAGTTTCTGTTGAGACAAAAGTATAGTAAGGACCACTTACTTGTGTTCTTGGCGCGGGGGTGAAGAGCAAGGTGATAAGCACTGCGCGCGCACCTCCACGTTTTTTCTACCCGTTCTACCTGGCCGTTCCGTGCACCGACCAGGCCGTGCCGAGTGCAACTATCCACAGCCCTAGGGAGCTCAGCTAGGAAGTAATTAAAGGCCCTAAAAATGGACAAATTGTGAAAGTAATAGGTACACTTTAGTACAAATTTTCATATCCTGTTGTAAATCTAGTGTGCCTCGAAAGAATGAATATCCCAAGTGCACCGCAAGCTCAAAAAGATTAAGATCACCTGGGGTATACTTGTGTGAAGTAGTATTCTGAAATCAGCGTGCCTCATGTAAGCTGACAACGAAATTCTTTTTAAGTTTGTGGTGGTGATGGTCCAGAAATATGGAAATTGGTTAGCGCTCGTAATTAATGCACTTTATTTCTCCAATACTGGTACATTTCTGTGCAGAGGAAACAACCCACTCTTTTGTAAGATTTGAGGTTTTCACAGCGGTGAGTATGAAGATTTCTGTCTACTGGGTTGTCCGTCTGGGATATTAATCGCCCTGATGACGGAGGCAGTATGACCTCTGAAACGTTGGTTAACATCGACCGGAGTACACAGCGCAACAACCCAGAAGACAGAAGTCTTAACCCACTCTTTTCGTTACATTAATCAAAAATATCCTTACGACTGTCGGCATGGATTAGACACAGGACATTTGGATTTCATGATCCGTTGTAAATGCCCGCATGTGCTACTGTGATACCTTTCTGGTCTTGAACTTCGTAGGTGCTCTGTCTGACTACCGATGTCGTACCGGATTTTCTGAATATATAGTTCTGTAGTTTTCCTTCGTCTTTCCAAGCAGCCGCCTAAACTGTTGAAACAGACTGTCCGCTTTCAAATTATCTGTTCGCCATTCATGGCCATACCATTCGACTGGATGACGTTTGCAGTTGAAACATCGTCGTTACGTAACCGAAGAATTAACTATGGTATTAGTAGGATTTGAGGATCTTACGGCGGTGAGTACGAAGATGTAGTCGCGTAGTCTACCGGACTGCACGGCGCTACAACCCAGAAGACTGCCATCTTCAGTTACGAAGATGTGTTTGGCCGGGGGATTTAGAACGTTGCAGAACTCTGATCTAGCGCACCAGCGATGTTATAGGCCTAATGTGTTCGTTATTGTGCAGAAGGGTACGCCCTAATGAACATGAATTTGCCCTTGGATTGAATTCCACCCACTGGTACCAACATGAACATATTTCATGTTACTCTGTTACGAGGAGTAGGCTGCCCTTGAAAGTTAAATCTATTTTGTGGAAGATCAGAAAAACCAACAAAAAACTGCATGTTGTGAACCGTGTTATTCCTCCATTTCATGGATAAACACTGCGTACCAAGGTTTCGGAAGGGTAACGCAAATGCGTAAACATGTATTATGCCTACCGTAATTGTTAGGAAAACCAACG